CCCCAAAACCCCCAAAACCCCAAAACCCCAAAACCCCTTATGTGGAAACTCTTTGAATAGTTAATTAATTTAGCTCGGAAGTGCAGTAATATGGGGATTTAAAATCTTTTCTCCCTTTGAATTTGTTCTCTCCAAGATTCTGAGAAATCTTCGTAATTTTCCATAAATTCATCTTGGAAATCCTTGTGCTTGATCTTCTCAAGGTTAGGTTTTTCCTGTTTTTTCTGTTTCTGCTCCTGTTTTGGAGGTTGCACAAGCTGTAATTTTGGAGGTTCAGTCGGTGCAGCTGCTTTTGGTTTAGCAGGAGGACCTCCAAGATTCAGACAAGGTATGTTTACATTATTTCTCTCAGATTCGTACATTGAAGCACTATAGTATGAAGCTGATGATGAAGAGTCATCATAAAGCATGTATTTGTCACTTCCAATTCATGAATTTTCTTCTTCCATCTCTTCTTGGGTTGGTTCAAAATCTCATTGATCATCTGTATTTTCAAAGTTTATTTGGTGTTGAAGATCAACTTGTTTGGACTTTGAATAATCAAACAAGTTTTTGTTTTCAGCATCTTCTTCTGGTTTCTCAGGCTTTGTTTTATTGCATTCAATAATATCTGATCTTTCACTAAGCTTTGATTTAGATTTTTGCTTTATTTTTAATTTTAGACTTGGACTTCCAAGAAGTGCCTTAATGTTTTGCTTAGCATTCATGAAGCTTTGGTTTGAAGAACTATCGTCATATTCATTCCTTTCTGAGTTATATTGTTTGATATCTCCTGATCTGAGTACAGAGTCCTCATACCCTGAAGTTTCTGACTCTTCACCTTCTCAGTAGCTACTGTCAGTTCAGTCGGCTTCACATTTAAGTCGGATTATTTCTTGCACTTTCTCCATATCTAATCTTGGGACATCCTTGGCATATTTTTCAAATTTAGCTTGTTGATCTATTTTCTCTTGCTCTCTGATTTCTTTTAGTGCAAGGGCAAGATCTCCGTCGGTTGATTCAAGGCCTTCATATTTCTCGATTAGGTCTTCTTCCACTTTTCTGATTCTTTCAATTTCAAGAGTGAGGCGATCATTTTCATCCTGAAGCTTCATTCCGTTTATTCTGTGATTTTCAAGCATCTTTTTGAGACTTTCGTTTTCACTGCGAATGTCAGTGATAATATCTTCTTTGCTGTTGATCAAATCTTCTTGCTGATCAATTTTGAGCTGATAGTCTACATATTTTTGTTTAATCTTTGTTAAATTCTCTCTTTCTTGTAGTATCATGCTGTTTTCTCGCATTCCTTTCTCTTTGATCTCGTTAGCGACAATACTTCTGATAGAAGACTGAAGGCCTTCCTTGATACTCTGCATTAGTTGCTTGAGTTTAGGAAAATTATCTGAAATTTCATCGAACATACGACAGTAAACGAAGAACTTCTTCTCTTCCTGGGCTTTAATGCTTTGGTTTTCTTTAGACTTGTCGCACGATTTGAGGAATGCTAGGTCTTCCTCCATTTTGGTGAGCATTTGAGTAACGTTTGCTTCAGTAATGATACAATCTTTTGGAGTCTCTGACACCCTAGAGTCATTATTTTCAGTCTCAATTGTGTCAATCCTGATCGGGATTGTATTCAATTTCTCTTCTAAATTTTAATATATGAGCATTACTTGAATTCTTATCAGTAATCTTCTCTTTGGAGGAACTTTTGTTACCAGTGATGAGAATGTCATTATTTTTGTTATATTGAGATCTTCTACAGGTTCTTCTATCCTCGAGGTTTTGGGCAATGTACCTGCTAGTGTCTTTATCCTCATCAGAATACATGAAGTTGGATAACTCATGTTTTCTTATCATGGTCTCTACAACCTCTCTCTGGGTCATATCATGAGGAAGCCTGGAAAGGTCAATATTTACAAATCCTTCAAAACAGTTTAGCTTCTGATGGTTATTAGATATATGAGGGTTGGTAGACTTAGATCTCTGAGAATTCTTTTTCAGATTCCCATTGCTAGTCATGTAAGGAGAATAAGCAGCAGTTCCATTGACTTGCTGCTTTTGTCCTTTCTTAAGGTCTTTATCACGTATGTTATTACCTCCATTCTGAGAGTTGTAAATAACGGAGTTATCACTAGCATTTTTCTGATGCTTAGGGGCATCACCATGAGTTTTTCTTCTCTTCTTCTTCGATAAGTTATCAACTTCATTTGAGAAATCGTTAGCGTTCTTAATTTTTGAGAATTTTGTCCTTGAGATAGGAGTATAAGCATTATCGTGGTTTTTGCTTCTATTCCTTTTTGAAGCCTTCCTCTTTTTAGATTTTGAAGTTGCTTTATTATCCTGTTTGTCAGGTGCAGGTCTGTAATATCCCTTTGACGTTTTGCTCTTCTGCTTCCTAGATTGAGGATAACCACCAGTTGAAGTTCTATTCCTTTGACGAGTAGAGGACTTTTCTTCATGAAAGTCCATATTTGATAAACTTGAATAGTTAGGATTCCCTTCCTGAGAAGAATATTGGAAGCGCCCTGAGTTATATTTCTGGGTGATCATCTGCTTCTTTAGATTATTTCTGTTAGTAAATTCGAGAAGTTCCTCAGAATCCTCAATAGAGTTATTCAAGTAATGAGTATGCATCCCAATCGCACTGATTCAACATCTGGAGTCATTTTTATCATTTTGAATTTGAAATGATAGTGGATTTCCTTTTACATAGTTTGTTGTGGCTGAATTTTGCTCTGATGCTCTCATTTCTCTTAGATTTTGCCTATTGCTCATACAGAAGTTATTCTTGGATGAGGACCGATAGTTTGGTACATTCACACTGTTCTTCTTCAGAAGAGTTGTCCGATTGCCAGAGATAGGAATGATTCCGGAGAGATCTAGAATTGATGACCTCTTTCCTCTGGACAACGAGGTCTTGGCAAGCATATCCCATTGCCAGAATTTGTCTTTCTCTTGATCATAGTAATTCTTTGAGCTTTTAATTGGCTTTCTTCTAGTGCTAGCTTGGTGTAATATATTCTTATTAGTGCCCATGTTACAGTTGCTAGTATTTTTCATACTTTTTACCGGTTGGATAGGTATAATTCCTCCAATTTGGTTGTTCGGAGTTTGATTATGCTGTCTCACTCTTAATGAAGGATCCTTCATGCATATGTTCTTGAGTCCTCTAAACTTCTTGGTCATCGAAAATGAGTGGGATTTCTTTGAATATCCATTACTCTTCCTGTAAGTGTTTCTTTTTCCTGGACCAGTTGAATTGGATTGCTTCTTAGATTTTTTGTTGTTTCCAATAAAAGAGAATGCTTTCTTTGTTCCGCCTATTCCGTTGGAATCTTTGAATTCGTACAGATCCAGTTGGTTGGATTTCATGAGCATATCATTTTTGAAGGATCATTTTATCATGGGCTTCTTGTATCGCTCTACTCAACTGGAGCTAGTTTGTCTTTGAATGTCTGAGCTCATGCTTTCCTTCACTTGGGGAGATATATCAGCCCCTCTTGTAGTGGTTACGGATCTTCTCTGCTTCATACTGGTCTTATTAAATCTTTGTTTTTTACTAAAAGTGTTAGCCTTGAGAGGCCCATTTTTAGAGTCCATTGCGGATTTCTTTTTCTTTGATTTTCCTCCTTTCGGGTTTGCAGTGCCAGCATTTTTCAGAAGTTCATTGACATTATAATAAAAGCTGTGGCAATTATTTCTCTTAGTAAATTTAGATTTGCGTTTACTGTGATAACTTATCAGGTCAAATGATTTATTCTTTGATTGGTATTGGTTCTTTCTCGACTCATAGTTCTTCAATCCAAAGTTCTTTGATTTATCCACACCGGAAAAGCTTGTATTAGTAGGAATCTTATTCTCTCTGAATTTATTTAGATTTCCATTCAGAAGAATGAATCTTAGTCTTCATTGTTTTTCCTGCTCGCATGTAGTTATCCATTAGACTACATGGAGAACCATCTGTGTCTTTAGGTCTATTGGTTGCGTTAGCTTTTGACTTCATGTTTCATAAGTCTTCTTCCCTATCATGAGGTATGAAATTTCTGTAATAACTTTGAGAACTTGTTGCGCCCATTTTACCATGAAAGATAGGCTCAGTAGGGCTATCTTCAACATCATACTCGCATCAGTCAGATATTTGTCTCCTCACCTTGATCTCGTCATCAGTTTCTTCCATGTAGTTGTCCATTCCTTCTTCATTGTTTTCCATGAATTCTGTGTATGGGATAGGGTCTAGCTTGGAATAAGGTATCTCCCTCTCATCATCACCTTGTCTATCTGACTTCTAAATTAAGTATGAGAAGGGATCTCGAAAGGGAGATTTTTGAAAATAAATGCTTCATTAGGGTTCTGTATAATGAATTACCTTCTGCCTCCTCTCTGGGATTAGTTTATCCTTGCTTCCTTCTGATACGTAATTTTGAAGTAACATTTGTAAGGGACTAAAGGTTTAGAACATTGATGCTACTTACCCTCTATTTTTAAATATTTATTTAGCATCAATTTTTTAAATTCCTTTAGGGGTTTTGGGGTTTTGGGGTTTTGGGGTTTTGGGGTTTTGGGGTTTTGGGG